AGAGCTGTCCACGGAAGAGTGATTGTACATTAAGAAAACATCTCGGCCCAGTCCAGATCAAGTCCACAAGTCCGATATTAGCCCAAACGTCTGATACTAAGCCATAAATTCCTCTTCAGACTCACGCAGCACCTACAATGATGCCGAATGCAAGATCACAGGCCGGTGGGTGGAAAGTCTTGTGGATCCAGTGGTGGTGGAAGCATCTCAGCACTGGCGTGGGTCTCCATGTGGCTCCTCCAGTTACCCGGGGGTGGCTCCTGAGCAGGAAGGTCAAGCAGAGAGAAAGATGCTCTCACAGGCCTCAGCGTCTCCATGTGGCCTGTCAACAGGAAGAGGAAGGCAGAGAGAGAGGAAGTTCCCAGAATCCTCCTGAGAAGGCCCCGCCCACACGGAGGCATCATCAGGCTGTGACCTGATTGACAGGCTAGATCGACTCCACCCCTTCACGCTTAAGACCCTCCCATTGGTAGGAGATGATGTAGCTGCCACAGAGCCATTCCTCGATGCCAGTCTTTCTGTGGACACACATACACAGGGCTCGCTGGCTCTGCCTCCCTAGGACCCAGAGTAACACAATATGCAACTTGGATATTTTTAAAAACAATTTAAGTAGAGGACGAAAAATGTCTTGAAAAGTACAAATTGTGCAAGAGAAGGAAAACGTCCCCTCGCCGCCACCCCCCGCCCCCCAAAAGGCACTGAGCTGTAACTGGGTGCCACGCTGGCGTTCTTCCGTTCCACCTGTACAACGTGGGGTGATGACGGTGGCACCGTCTGTCAGCAGCAGCCCAAGGCTGATTCCCAGGAGGCAGAATTCAGACATGCCTCGCTGTCCAGCCTTGGATCCATTCTGACATGAACAGATCGTACCCCCGCTCCCCCTCCCCCTGCACTGGGTTCGTTGCCATGGCCCCAAGGAATGCACAGGCGAGTCACACATGTGGGTTTTATTAGGGAAGCCGCGGGCTCCAGTTCCGACTCAGAAATGACTCAGGCTACGTAATGCTTCACTGCTGGCCCTCTGTCGCTGGTTCTGCTCAAGGCCTTCTGCAGCCACATGTCACAAAGCCCTTAAGCTCCACGGATAAGTACCCAGAGCTATACCCCATGCTGCCAATCAGCCTTTTGTCCCGTGGGCCAGAGCGCCCACTAGGCCGTCTGCCGCCTGTCGCCGGGGTCTCTGCTGCACCTGCCGCCACGCCTCACTGCCTGCTGCCAGCCTCCGGGTTGCAGTTCTCTGTACCCTGGTCTAGGAGGTTCTTCTCCCAGGGACTCCGCAGCCACGGCATGCACTCCACTCCTCGCTGTCTTGCTTGGTGGAAGTGAAGTTCCCCTTTCTGCCTCTTGGACGGCTCCTCAGAGCCTCGAAGGATGGCAACGCGGAACAATCTTCTCCTGAGGATTCCGTGTTCCGTATTTACATGCCCTCGCCCTCACAGGGGCGCCATACACCTGATTGCTATTTGCATAGTCAGCAAGATGTCCAATCCCCTCGGTGGGCTACACACACCTCCTTTGCATAGCCCTACCCCATCACGCAGTGGGAGCCCCAAGGCCATGACCAGGTTGTCCGAGGTGCCACAGGCCTGGCTATGGCTGTGGTCTGTCTGTCCTGAGAAGACCCCCGCATCTGTGTGTGCCCTGTCTTCTACCGCTGCCGTCCCAGGGAACACCTGAAGGGCATGTTTCAGAAGAACAAAAAGCTTTTCTGAAAATATGTTTTCGATGGAGTTTTCTCCCAGATCTGGCGGCTCCAGGTTCAAATCAGATGTCATGACTCAAAGGGCGGCCCCTTCCCTCAGAAAGGGTGTCCTCTTGGCTCAGCCGCGAGTCCCCGTACTGTGTGCTTATCCTCTGTGTTGCCACGTGTTGTGAATACAAACTTCCGCCTGTCCCTAACGAGGCAGGAGTCGTTTGGCTGTTAGATGCCAACAAGACAGAGCTCTCGTCGTGGCCCGATGTAAGGCAAAAAAACGAGACACCGCCTGTCCCTGCGCCGTCCTCCCAACTGTCCCTCTGCTGGGGCCCAGGGTCGCAGCCACGGTGTCCATCCATCGTTGCTCCTGTACGTTACAAACACAGTGTCCTTCTCCAGGGACTGGTCCCTCCTGACCACACGGCCTAGATGAAGTCTCTCCATCCTGGTTTGTAAGGATGTGCTTCTTCCAAGACAGACTTGTCTGCTCTTTTGGCAGCCCCAGCAGGGTATGGTGAAGAGGACTAATCGCGTTTGCTCTGTTAATGAGGCGGCAGTGGTCCCCGATAAAGAGGACCGGGCTATGTTTGCTCTGTCCATGGGCTGGAGAAGGGTGGGCTGCATCATGAGACACCACCTTACTCACAGGTCACAGCGCTGGTCCCGTGGAAGGGGAGTCTCCTGGGGTGTAGCCTGCATCCCCTTTTATCTCACATGCGATATAAAGCAAGGGAAGCAAGAAGAGAGGGGAGGGGGGGGGATTCAGCACCAAGGAGGAAAAACTGGGATCAAAACATATAACCTTTGGACCTGGGGTCCCCATGCTGAAAACCTCCTAGACCCAGAGGGAGATGGATAACAAGACACATGGGGATCCCCAGGGGACACCAGGCCCAGAGATGTCCCCCAGAGCTGTCAGAGAGACAAACCTTCCCCAGAGCTGGCCCCCTCAACTGTGAGAATATCGATGTCAGTTGTCAAAACCACCCCACGGTGGCGGGTCTGCGCCACAGCTGACATGCGGTCTCAGCCACAGGGGTTCTTCCCCCAGTGGACTGTCTCATACGCATGGCGTCTTCAACGACCTTGGTGTCCCTCTACTTGTGAACAGGTCCTCTGTCTCCCCCGACCCTCCACCCCCAAGAAGGTGTCCCTGCAACCCGTCCTGGTCCTTGTACAACTCAGACGTGGTCAGGGTGAGGACTTGCCCTAAGACGTGCCAACGAAGCCAAGCCAAACCCCCTGCGGCCACTCCCACCCACGCAATGGCCCCCCGCGTGACTGCCGTCTCTAGGGAAGCAGATGCCAGGCCTTCCTTCTGGGGTACTGCTGGGGTGTCTGAACTGCCAACCCTTAGGTTGAGGTCAATGACCCAGTGCAAGCGGTTCACGCATCACCTTCGTCCCAGGTGCAGCTTCCGGGATGAAGATGTTAAAGGAGATTCCTCCACAGGCTTTGGAAGCCCCCCACCCCACCCCCCTCGTGCGGCGTTGGGCTCATGACATGCGTTTTGAGGGCCACGGTGTGCAGGAACGACACCTGGAAAGAAGCAGACCCCTTTCTTCTAGCTTGGGGGGTGGGGTGTCAGGCCGTCAACAGATAGTCTCTTCCCGAACCTGTCATCCTCTGAACATCAGGTCTCCAGGGAAACCGGTACCTGTGGCCAGCAAGCCACTCGCCGCCTCCTGGTGGCCAAGTGCCAAATTGCAGGTGGAGGAAGGTTTTTGTTGTCTTAGAACGTTGTTGTTGTTTTAGGGGTTGGAATAGGGGGAGGGGCTTGCGGGGAGCGGACACGGAAGCCCTGTGAAGGTTCCCGTGCCTGTTAGGGAAGCAGCGGGCACTTCCCCTCCTGGGCCTCTGTAATGGGAAGAGACTCGTCGGAATGTGGGTTCAGAAGCCCACTGGGGGAGGAGAATCAGAGGTGCACTTGGAAAGCAGGGTATATCGCAGCGTGCCTCTGTCCAGCTCTCCTCCCCGGGCGCGGCGGCACGGATGTATCTGTGTGCATCCTAGCAAACACTGACCGGTTAGCATCCTCTGCCTGGCTGTTAGAGCGCTCACCTGTACACCTGCCCTCGATCCAGAAAGCACAGGAGGCTCAGCCTGCCGCTCCGAACTTAACTAGTCCCTCCCACCCCAGCCGGAGCAGTGGGCAAAGTAGAGCATGGGTTTAAGGTTGGGAGCAGGGTGGGTGTGAGCACGGTTGGTGTGACCAGGGAGGGGGTGGGGGCTGCCCTGGGTCAGAGGAGGGAGGACTCACAAGACAGCACCTGGGGTAATAATAACTTGAACTTCTCCC